CAGTGATTTGCCCAACTCATGTTGTGCGCAGCAGTGCCTCATATGGATGGCTTGATGGGCAGAAATGCGATTGCAGACAAGACTTTAATGTTTCATCACCAAAGTTTTAATAAATAAATCATTCAAATGATATGAGGGATACAACTGTAATGTAGAATTAATAGTGGTATATACCAGGTAGAACCTGTAAACATTTATAAAATATTTAGAAAAATCAATGTTACGTAGAAAATAACATCATTATTTGAGACCAATTTTTTCAGTCTGCCTTATCTGATAGAGCACTAAATCTATAATTCTATATTTTAGTATGACTTGGAATTCTCTTCTTGAAAAATCCGTAGGTCAGGTGTAAAATTTGCAGTTATACTCAAATGTCTATACATGCATTTTTGGTTCTTCCTTCACTCAATTCAACGTGTTCGTCAGTTGTTTCCCCTGATGGCCGAATAACCTACCTTTCACGGTATGCAAGTGGTTAATCTCTATGGAAAGCTGCAGGGCTTGGGAGATAGCCTGGAGGCATAAGCACCTGCTTGGAAAGTTCAAGGTCCTAAGTTCCACTCTTGGTACTGCAATGCATGCATACATGCATACATACATACATGCATACATACATACATGCATACATACATACATCTGCATATGCGTTTGTGGAAATGCTGATTTGCAGTACGATGCTCCCCCTTTTCCTTCTCCGCTTTTCTCTGGGTAGATCGTGAGCTGCATGCCTTTTGCAGTGTCCTGCATAAGCAGAGGCGCATCACCTCCTGGTGCCTCGGACACATTGCCGCCCACTGCCCGCACTCAGGTTGGGCTCACTAGAAACAGACATGCGTCAGCTTCTGCCAAGGAAATCTGTGCCCACCACGGCCTGCGTCTGTGAGGTTGAGTCAGGGGGGCTCTCCAGAGCTCCAGACCCAGCTGCTTGCCCTCTGGGCATCTCCTGAGTGTCTCGGCGCTGATGTACCCCTCTCCCGCTGTCCTGGGCCTGTGAATCACCCACAGCGCACCTAGCGCTGCGCAGGAATGACCAGGTTGTCGTGAAACAGCCTTCAGAGCCATGCATGAGTCCCCTCGGCCACTTCTGATGTGTGCACCCTCCGGCTGTGCTGGGGCTTTGTGAAATTTCAGGCAGTTCTGATGGAATTGCGCTGGACAGAGCTGTGAGAATTGGGAGAAAAGGACCTTTCCTGGTTTCCAAGGTCTACGGTATGACTTCTAGCCACACCCTCCCTAACACACCTTGGGTGTTAATCCACCAGAGGGGACCAGAAAGCAAACCCTAACATGACCACAGTCTCCCTCTCTTCTCCTGCCCCATCAAAATTTTCCCAAGTTGTCCACTGAGCCTGGGAGAGATTGTGCCCCTCAGCTGCGTAGAAATTATCCTCTTGTTTTATGTAGTAGACTGCATAGTAGTAGCCTTTGAGGAAAAGTCTCTAGCCTGAGCGCTTCAGGCATTCTATTCTGCTATTTTTATAACAGTACTTTCGTATTCTTCTCCTTCTTTCAAATACTATTCTGCAACCTGTGCTTTCCTAAGCTGAATCTGAGTGAAGTAAAGCATTAAAATATATATTCAGAAATTCAGAGTGGTTGCCAAAATTAAAATGAAAATAATAAGTTTGTCATTAAACACTTAGCACTATATCAATAAAGCTATAAAATAAAAATCTATTCTATTTTGACATTGCTAATTTGATTTGCATAGAAATTTGCAAATTAAAGAATGAAACGTTTAAAAATATAAATGATTCACATGGACAGTATTTGAACGCTGGAGCAAATCCACAAAGAAAAAGAAATTTTCCTCGCCGGCCCTGCTGCTGGGTCACTGAGCTGGCAATTGAGACTGGATGTGGTGCCACACACCTGTAATCCCAGCTCTTGGGAGGCTGTAAACAGACAGATCACTACAAGTCCAATCTAGTAGAGAGACCCTGAACACCCTGTGGAGCCTTTCCTAAAATAAAAAGAAAATGTAAATTTTCCTTTACATTTTTTAACATTCTCCAGAGTATATTCCAATACTTAAAAACTATTTGTATAGTAAAATGTAAAATGGCCTTAGTTGTTCTAAAAGCCTAATCTACACTTGAAACAAATGCTTCAGGAAAGAAAAGACACTCAAGACTCATCTGCTTCTGTTAATACAGACACAACTATTTCTAGATGAAAGCAACCGGGCCGGAGAGATAGCTCAGCAAACTAAGCACATGCTTAGGCGAGCTCAGGGACCCGGCTTAGATAACGGCACCACATGCTGCGCCGGCCCCGCACCCAGGTGTGCTGAGCCAGTCACTGAGTCCAGGCGTGGTGGCCCATGCCTGTAATCCCAGCGCTGGGAAGACTGAAAATTAGAAGATCACTAGGAGCTGTGTCGTGAGACCCCGTACAAAATGCATTAAAAATAAATCAATAAAAAGTGCATTTGTGCCACTTCAACAGATAAATGTCACCGAAGTGTGCTTCATTAAAAAAGGATCCGCTAACTTCTAATCTGACAGGAGTAGATCAAACAAAATGTCCTCTGTTCCATCACATGATTTTTTAAAAGAAGTTCAGTGGGCAAAAACCAGTATTTATTCCAACTTCAAATAAAGAAACAAATAAATAGGAAGGTGAAATGAGAATCAAGAAATATTTCTTTAACATATCCCCAGAGCCCTAAGTGCTTCAAACATAAGAAATCTTTGTTTTGCTTTATGTTTACAAGATTCCATGGCGCTAGTATTTTTTTAAATATTTCGTAAAATGTTTTGGCTGGGTCATAAGATTTTGACCAGGAGAATAAAGTAAGAGAAAACCATACAAAAATTTATTTAAGAAATAAAATAATGTTTTATATGATTACAAAGCTTGCAAATTCCAATTAAAAATTTTATATTTTAATATAAAAGTGTATGTAATAATCTGGTTAGAGAACATAAGCCAACAATAGGAAGGGGATATTTTTTTCATGATAAAATGCTTTGGAATGAATCAATTCACACACAATAGAATTCTTCAAAGCATAAAATTCATAGGAATTAATCCAATGATACATAGGCAAACTAGCATAAGAAATAGTATCTTTAAGAGAGGGCATCATCCAAAGTGTTTAGAGAATTAAAGCAATGGGCTTTTACTGAGGAAGATGAGATATTTAGAAAAAAAAAGCAATCTCAAATAAATCTTCTCTAAATAATGATTTTTTTTTTCAAAAGCCAGCGCAGCTCCTTTCAACTGCGTCCAATTCTTTTTTTATTATTAT